TTCACATTTATCCTGACGAAAGTCATCAGGATAAATAGAGTTTCAAATGCTCTATTTATCCTGACAACTTTCCAATGTTTTCTATAGCACGGACCTTTCCCTTGAACTCCAGAACTACACACCCAAGATGTACTAGACATCTTCACTTGAATGTTTAATAAACATCTCAAACACAACTTGACCAAAGTAAACACCAACTGCTGAGTTCCTAACAGGCCTGAGATCTGCTTTTATCCCACTTAGACACAAAGAAATTAGCTTGTACTCTTTAACGGATGCAGTCAGAAGAAACAAAACTCTTGGGTCAGAGACAAAATATTTCATTACCCTGACACCACCAACAGTATTTGCATCAATATATTTGAGTGGTTTTCCCTTGCCTTCCAGTCCTATAAAATTAGGGGGCCAGGATGGATGCTAACTTGCAGTGGATTTTTCACTGCTGCTAGCAACACTAACTTTGAATAATCTACTCCTTTTATAGCTTCCAAGTAGGCAAGATTGCTCTTTGTCCTGAACGGAAACAAGACCTTATCGTTTACAATTCTCTCTGCAAACTCATGAGAAATTGCCCAGACAAAGAGCAGTTAAGGCCTTGCATTCTTGGCATACTGGCAAGATAGGGATTATCTAACCCAATACTTCCATAAAATATGTATAAGGTGGCTGGTGTCATAGAGGAATGGGGACAAGGGCATAGATCTACAGGTTGCTGCCATAGCCCTTTACAATAGGGGTAGTTTTTGTGGCACTTAGGTAGAAAATGTCAACAGTGAACTAGTCTAGATTCAGGTTCTCATCTCAACCTACTAGGTAGGCTATGAGGTAGGCTTCCACCTACAGAGGGAAAGGACTGGGAATATAAGCTAAAGTGTAGATGCCTCCCAGTTTTCTTCTCCCATGCATATCCTATAGTTGCTAGATTCCCTCTAATGTGCAGGTGTTCTTTTTCTTTTCTTTTCTGTTTTTTTTTTTTTAAAGAGTGTGGCTGTTCTTAATCTCACCAAAGAAAGAAAAATGGACACCATTAACTGGGCCACTGTCCCAAGAACCCAGACCTCCCTACCTACACACACCTTGTTTGCTCTTCAGGCAGCCTCTTGGGTGATCATTCATCTGTGAGCAAAATGATGGCTCCTCACTGCTGTCCCATTCCCATCAATTACGAAATCAGCTTCTGTACCCTCTCTTCTGGAAAATAAAGTTTTACAGGATCCTCATTTGCTGTCCTTCTTAAGATCATCTTGTGAACAAATTTTTGTGTTATTAATCCAGTAGAGGACTTCATACCCATCTCCACTGTCAAACCATGAGATACTGCCCAAGCAAGATACGGGTGCCAATATGGGCTTATTCTACTGGGCTATAGGCTGACTGGGGGGGGGTTTCCTAGCACTGCTGCAGCACATGGGTCCTGTGGCCAAAGCCAGGCTCAGTTTCTGCTTTCTGTAGCTCCCTCAGATTCAAGAGACTCTACATAATTATTGCTCCTGATCCCAACTGGTGAAATGAGCCTGTCCATTTCCTTATGCCCCTGTTTTCCCACCATGCTACAGCTGGCCCACTAATATACTTGTATTATTTATCTATGTATTTTGTTTACAGCCCATCTTTTTCCACTAGAATCTAAGTAAGTGGTCCCCAACCCTCAGCTCATGAACCAGTACTGGTCCATGGCCTGTTAGGAACCCAGTAGCCCAGCAGGAGGTAAGCATTACCTCCTGAGCTCCATCTCCTGTCAGATCAGTAGCAGCATTAGATTTTCACAGAAGCATGAACCCTGTTGTGAAGTGCACAAGCAAAGGATCTAGGCTGCATGCTCCCTATGAGAATCTAATACTTGATGATCTGTCATTGTCTCCCAACCCCCTTAGATGGAACTGTCTAGCTGCAGCAAAACAAGCTCATGATTCCCACTGATTCTACATTATGGTGAGTTACATAATTATTTCATTGCATATTATAATGCAGTAATAATAAAAATAAAGTGCAAAATGCCTGTAACGTGTTTGAATCATCCTGAAACAATCTCCCCACCCTAGTCTGTGGAAAAAATGTTTTCTGCAGAACTGGTCTCTGGTACTGAAAAGGTTGAGGACCACTGGTTTAAGCTTCCTGAAGAAAAATATTCAATATTATTGAATGGATGAATATATGCAATTATTCATTTGTTCATCTGCTGCAGGTACTGCTGAATTTAATCTCTGTTAGAATAGGTAGTTGGATGATTTTATTCACCACTTACCCCCACGCCTAAAACAGTTAGCAAATCATAGTTATTATATAAATATACACTGAATACATTTATTGAATGGCTGAATGAAGTTCTAACTCAATAATATCTCTATAGAATGGTTAGCTTCCATCCAGGCATTTTGCTAGTAACTTAAAAAATTGAGTTTATTTTGTAAGAGGTGATTTCATGTATTGATTCAACAAGATTCATTGAATACTTGTTATCTGCAGGACCTATATTAAGTGTTCCTCTCTCAAAGTTCTTAGTGGAGTATGCTGAAAAAGTAACTCAAAGAACTAAATGCTGGTACTTGGCAAAACCACATATTTCTTTCTTCTTGAGCTGGAAGACTCCACTCTCCAGTTCTCCAGCAATGACGTGTAGCGCCTGAAGTGTTTTGTGACCAGAGGAAGGAAGCTGAGGTGTGGCACCAGAAGTGTTTTCTCACCGGTGGAAGGAGGCCGAGGTGTGGCACTGGAAGTTTTCTCAGCAGAGGAAGGTGAGCTAAGGGACTTGCACGTTGATAACCCCAGCCCACAGAATCTGTCATGTGCAACTACATGTCTTCTTTTTTTCTCTCTTGCTTCCAGGAAAGCAGCAACCTCCAGAGCAATTTTGGGAGCTTCACCTAGATGATGAGAGAAACTCAGTAGTATTTAGGACCTGAATGATAACATGAAGAAGAGATTCATGGCCAAACTACTTTTCATAGACCAGTCCTTAGAAATTATCTTTGGTTGAAGCACTTAGATATTTTTGCAGCCATTTTGTAAACCAGTTAGTGTACTCTTTTACGGAAACTCTTCTCTAAAATTTTACTGAATTATTTTTGTCTCTAGAGATTGTGTCCTTCACACATGGAAGATTTTATTGTCTCGATCAAGTACTGATCCTTATTTCCTTTCTCTCTTCCTCTGATAGTCTTAGGTCCTGTTTCTTGACGAGGTTTCCACAGTACTCAAACTTGTAAAAGATTCTACACAGCACCTCTAGCACCTGCATTGAAAACTTTCCATCAGGAGTATCCAGGTGTTCTCAAAACTCTGGAAACAAATATATGAACACTCTCAGTATGTTCTGAGCCTCAGGGGAACACTCACAGAGTTGTTGGCGAATGTCAAAAGTCAGGAGAAGGTATCTCATTCTCTTTCCCTTTCCGATTGTTTCGTACTTCAAATTCAAAACAATTTATGAATATTTTTCTAATGTTGTTTTCTTCCATTAATCCTGCCAGACCTGGTCTCTCCTGGGATGCCCTTTTCTTTGGGGCATAGCTAGGAATAATTAAATACAACACTACTCCAAATTTCCTTTCACTCTGACAATCAAGGCTCTGGTTCTTGCCAAGCTTCTTTATATGCTCCTCTTTCTCCTTCAGATAATTTGTTCTTCAGTGCTTCTTACAAATACATTTTTGTTCAAACAGCCATACGAGTTTACCCCCTGCCCCGCCCTACACACACAAAACCCAGGGGAGTTTAACTCTCCAAACTAAACAGAGCTAAATGCTCAAGCTTAATCTTGTTATGTAAATTAGCAATTGAATTATGGGCCAGCACCTTGCTTGTCACTAGACTATATGCCAGTCAAATACTATGGAAAGGAATTTATAGATAAGGAAACAAAGAGTAAAAGTTTTGAGTTTTTGATATTTGTTTAGGTATGTTGGTTTAGTCCTATGTGTGTGTCTGTGTCTGTGTTTCTTCCATCCTATTGGCAATAATACTATCTACTTCTATTTACTTTGCAGAATTTTTTTAAAAGCTATTCACCTAATCATGACTATGTAGAAATCTACTATTTACCTTTTCACATTAATAAGAAAGACATGGTAAAATAAAGTTTCTATTAGGCCCTTTTAGCTATAGATTTAATGTGATATATAGGGAGAGAATATGAATTTTTTAATTCGTTCTGTGGCATAAAGTGAAATTAGTAGATAAGGTCGTATAGAGTAGAAATAGAATTATAAACATGTTTATGTAAATTTCCTGTTAATATATAGACTTTTTCAGAATTTATTTCTCTAATTCTTAAATTAGAACATTAGTTCATTTTACATATTGAAAGGCTTAAACATAACTCATGCAAAATAAAATCTTATTAAGAACTCCATAAATAAAAGTTTAGTAAATAGAGAACAAACTTGAACTCTGTGATTTGGAGAGATGACTTAGTCCCTCCTAATTGCTATCTGACACCTCTTTAAACTGATAAGAACAGTAATACCTATCTCATGAAGTTGAGATAATGTATGCATTCCAATATACCAGTTGAATAGTAAGTAATTAAATTAGATAATCATTATTATTACTGGAAATTAGATTATTTTTCCAGACATATGTTAAAAATCTGTCATCACCTTCAGCCTAAAGCGTTTGTACTTTTTCCCTTTTTAAAATAAGCACTTAACATTAAAGTGTCTGAATCCTTTAGCATTTTTATCATTTTTCTTTTTTTAATTTTATCTTTAAGTAATTTTAGATGTATACAAAAATTGCAAGATAACAGAGTTTCAGTATATCATTTTCCCAGATTCCCTTAAAGTTAACAGCTTACAAAAACATAGTACATTATCAAAACCAGATAATTAACATTGATATATTTTCATTAACTAAGCTAGAAACCTGATTTGAATTTCCTGTGTTGTCACACTAGTGTTCTTCTTCTGTATCAACCTGGATCACATATAGCATTTAATAGTCATTTTTTTTTTTGTTTCCTCCCCCACTCCCCCCACCCCGACACACACAACCCGGGAAGTTTTTCTTTCATTTTCTTTAAGAGTTTCTCTATCATTTTCTTTGTCATTCATAACCTTAGCACTTTCAATGATGGTCAGGTATTTTGTATGATGTCATTCATTCCTTTTGTGTTTGTGTGATGTTTTATCATGATTACATTGAGGGTTTTTTTGGGGGGGTTTGTTTGTTTGTTTTGCAAAAATGCTACTGAAATAATGTTTTAACCTTCTTATTGGATTATATCAGGAGGACTGTCATGCCAATACATCTTAAAACTGATGATGTTAACTCTAATAAGTTCGTCACTTTTGTGTCTGCCAAGTTTCCCCACTGTAAAGCTATTGGTTTTCCTTTTGTAATTAATAGGAATCTTGCAGGGAGTTATATCTTGACTATGCAAATATCCTGTGCTCCGTTATATTTTTGCTCAATACATTTCATTTCCATGGATGATTCTTGCCTGCAACTATTGTACCACAGTGCATGCCCAAGGGTAATTTTCTGTTTCTGTCATTCCTTCCAAATTACTCAATTGTAATTGTATTATAAGGAAGAGCTGTTGCCTATTCCCCATCGTTTACTTATTTATTCAGTTATTTATCCCTATCAGCACAGACTCATAAGTATTTATTTTATGGGTCATATTTCAATCCCAATACTATCATGATTTATTCTGTTACTTCAAATCCTTCCAATTGCTACTGAGATCTTAAGTTGGTTCCTGTGTCCCTTTTACATGCCTCCATCATCCCTTGAACACTTCATTACATTCTTGCACCACAAGAGGTTCCGACCTTATCTTATATTTTTCTTCCCAATCTATTTCACCATAAAAGAGCCCATCCTTATTTAAAAATAGAAAACATGGAAAATAGCACTTAGAAATCAAAATCTGTTTATTAAGTGTGTTCATTGCTACTTGGGCAACAATATTGTAATATTGTTATATATAATATGCATTCATACACACTTTATAGATATATAATATATGCATATAAACATACATATTTATTTATTACATTTTATCTATAGACATATTCAAAATCCATGACTTTATATGATATAAATTCCAATCCAGCACTATAGAGTTCATTCTAGCTTTTCTCCTTTCCACATTGTTACTTCTTCATCTAACATACAGAAACTCGGATCACATTATCCAGAAAATATTTGAGTATTTGTTCAATTCCAGTATACAAAAAGTATTTTCAAAGTTTGTGATGCCTACATTAGCAAAAAGCAATGTTGCTAACTAGAGTATATTTGTGTTTTTCTTTTTAACCTTAACTTTTAAGTATGCATTGCAATACTGCCTTCCAAAGTTACTTAAATAGGTTCTTTACTTTTTCACCCTCCTAGGTGGGAGTATGTTACACATTTGTAATACAGTTAGGTTACCCTTTACTGATTGTATTCCATGTTGGATTTCCTTCACATCCTGGGGGTTCTAAATTTTCAATCTATATTTTGGGTAGGCAAAACAATACTACAAATTTAGTTTCAGGCTCATTCAAAAATTATATTCCAAAAAGTGTCACTGTCTTCTCATCTGTCCCACTCCATTCTGTTTCTATTCTTCCACCTTCTTCACTCTGTTTTCACCCTCTCCCTGTTAGTAACTCTTCTTAATAATTTCTGGTTATCATACCTGTATTTTTTTCTCCATAAAAAAAAATATACATGCATATTTTCTTGTATTTCAAACTTTTCTACGTTGAACATATTATAGAAAACTCTATCACACTTTTTTTTTACTTAGCAATATATTCTGGGAATTATCCGACATTAGTTCATAGAAATTTACCTTGTTGATAGCTGTATTGTAGTTGGTTATGTGTATACCTTTAGCAGGGGTATTTTGTTTGTATCCAATGTTTTAAAACAATGCTGAAATGAATAACCTTGTGCGTATGTATTTTCATAATAATGCATGTGAACCTAAAATCAAAGCGCTAATTGACGGTTGAAATCACAAAATTTAAATTCCATGAATTGTATTTTTTTAGATAGTCTTATATTTTCTTCTATTTCCTTTAAGAAAAAGAAATATCCTTATGTGTACTTTTATGATTTGAACTAAAGACACCTGCAGAATACTGGCTGTTACTTACACACTTCAGAGAGGATTCAAAAGATCCATTGCTAGTCCTGGTTTCACTAATTACCAGCTATGTGACATTTGGAAATCCATTTACACTTTAGTAACTGTTAATTGGAGGCTGGTCTAGCACATGCACTTTTTTAGAGATACATAGTGAACTGAGACCCATAAAGAACAGTTGTTCAGACTGCAGCCAATTGCCTTTCAGGAATCTCCTGGAGGGATTTGTAGGGGTGAGGGGAGCGGGATCCATATGAGGATTAACCATTTCTTCCTAAAGACATCTAAGGATGTGGATTTAGCACTTTGATTTACATAATTTTTCTCACAGCATTTGCCTCATCTTGGCTTATTCTGAATATCTGCTTGGAGGAAAAAAAGTTGCTAAAATTAGGCTCTTTAATTTATTCTGCGGCACACATATGCTCTCTTTCATCTGGCCAACTTGTAATAAATGGATGTCCTAATCTCATCGTTCATATCTTTTTCATGTTGGCAGAATTGAAAAATAAAATAAGTAGAAAAGCAGAAAGAGGAATTTGTAGAGAAGAAAATAATAAAGTCCTCTGGTCCCCCCAGAAGGAACTTTTTTTTTGTTAACATGACCTTACATTGTCCCATTGAATAATGCAAAATTTGTTTGGTTGTGCCCTGCAGGACTCCCAGGCCTGGAAGCCAGGGCAGCGGTGGTACTGAGTTGGCACAAAGTAGCAAAAATGTCATTTTTTAATTATGTGGTTCTGAGGGGAATCTATTATCCACCGCTGAGATGCTGAAATCAGACAATTTATCTCCAAGGCAGCTCTCTCTACAATCCAGAATATATATCTCTTGTCACTGCAGGAAATAGAACGAAAGGATGTTTTTATTTCTGGTGCCTTATGTTTATAAATTTATTCTTTTAAATTTTGCCAACAAAGGGGAATAATACCCTAACATATTTCTTGAGTCCCCTCTGCCTGCTTCTCCTTTTAAAGGGTGTTCAAGTGACCCAGGCTCTTTTTTTCCCCAGTTGGTATCAAATCTTCTAGGTCTCAAGTTCAAGAAGTCTTTGCACATCGTCCAGATCATGTTCCAAATGGCCATTTCCAAGAAACATAGAAATAATTTGTTGAGAAGTCCCAAGAAAATTAGAGGTATCCACCTAAATTAATATAAATACAAATTACTCTTCTGCATTTCAAACAAGATGCTGGAAACTTTGAATCATATCCATTCCCCCTCTCAATAAACTATTTTCATTTAAATGTAAACTAATACTTATACCTACCAGCTTGTTCATAATGATTCTGCATTATTTCTGGGTTTTTTTTTTTTCCCTTAAGGTATCAAGGCAAATGAAAAAAATTAGCTCATATTTGTCTTCTCCCCCAACCTCTCCCTTCTTTAAAAAAATCTGAGAAATTCATTATGTTTTCTACATTGTGTGCATGAGAGCTCCAAGCAATTCAGATCTATTAACCATCAGGTACAAGCTAAGTGCTTTTAAAACAAATGCGTTTCGTTTATTTTAAATGAATGTATGCTTTCTATATTCTGCAAAAGCATCAGGAAATTTGATCAAAACTTGGCATGGTGGAATGACAATAGCTGCACTGTCCTCTAGTGGAATATTTTGGGCATAGCAAGACAAATGCAGACAATCTTTTGGTCTTTATCTTGCATGTACACGTGAGTTTGTGTGTGTGTGTGAGTGTGTGTGTTGTGTAGCTTTCCAGAATCAAAGAGAAATGGTATACCACCTGTTAATCCTTTGAAGATTTTTTACTTTATTCTGGAATACAGAATTTTCAAAGATTGTTGATTTTCTATCACCAAAAGCATATATCATTAAGGTATTTTCAGCTCTATCTCTGGTAACATGTGCAAGGAAAAAATGTGATGATCTTTACTGTAGATTTTATTGCTGTAAATATTAGAATGTAAACATTCCAGTTAGAATTTTAAGCCACTCCGAGTATTCTTTTATAAGCATATGTAATTCAGTTTAGAGAAAAAATATGTTTCAACACAGAGTCATTAATACTTACATGTTTGTAAAACAGTTAAAATCAAACAGAAAAAATATTTAGAAAGAGTCACCAATGTGTAATACAGGGTTGCCTATCATTTACAAACAGCTATTTCTATTACAAGAAATGTTAGCTGTATTGAGGGATTTTATTCTGAATCCACTGAAGCAAGCATGTTCTGAAACCTCTTCCAGACTGACTTGTATTATTTGGGATTTCTAATATACAAGATAAACAGACATACTTGGGGATATGATGGGAAGGAAAATGGAGCCAATTGGGTAATGAATTTATTTTTCAGCTTCCTCAGGAACATTGAATCATACTATGTACTCATATATAAATATGTAAACATAACAGAATCTCATCCCCAGACCTATCTTTAAAGTATGCAGATCACCCTGATTTGTAGCTTCTTACACAATCCTTGCTGTCTGGCTGAATCGATGATATCTCATTCTTTATCAGTCCCCATTTCCTAGACTCTCAGACAGAAAACCAGACACTTAATGTTTTTCTTACTAACTAGGTAGCAATAAGATCCAGGCTCAGAATGAGACCTCATATGTTCAAATTTTACATCTAGTACCAGTGCTGATATTTCTGGTTAATTACATAATTCTCTGAGTTTCATTTCTCTGTCTATGAAAGGCAGATCATAATAATATCTACCTCTTAGAGCTGTGTGTAGATTAAATGAACTAGGATATATGTAAATCAGCATCATATAGGAAAATGCTACTCCAAAAAAGTTATAAACTATATAAATACCATTCAAACTTCGAAGTGTAAGTCCAGATGACCATTTACCACTGTCCATAAGGATAAAGTCCCCAAAGCTGATAAGGAAGGAAAGAAAGAGGAGGAAGGAATGGTTGTAGAAACTGAAGTCACCTGTGTGACTAAGAAAAACTAAATTTCCCTGAAATGTTTTCAGTTTCAGTTATTAACAATAGCAAACAGAATATCACATATAAGGCACATGGAGAGTGGCCAGAAGTCCTCTAGGAAAATTCTCTGAAATCTACTAATAGATAGGGAAAGAAGTCCATACCTAAGGGAATTGACTGGCTCTATCTGAAGCTCCACAATTTCTCTTTTTTTAGTCTTGGAAAAACCATCTGAATAGAAAGAGGCCTTTTTTTCTTGGTTTCCTCCAATACATCCAAAGCAAATTAAACACCTCAATTTATTAAGGCATTAATATTTAAAGACCATTTTACTGATGAATGAAAGAACAAGATGCTAAGGCTTGCAGTACTGGCCCTGTCCTTAACTGGTTGGCTACTAGATCTTATGAAAAAAACTTAAATTCTTAGGCATTTGAGGCCTAAGAAAACAAATCTCCTTAAGATTCTATACATGATTCTATCAGTTGGTTATGTCATAATTGATGGATATTGTTTGGCTCTTTGTTCCTATCCAAATCTTACCACAAATCCTAAACCCTACGTGTTAAGGGAGAAACCTGGCTGGAGGTAACTGGATCATGGGTGAAGTTTCTTCCATGCTGCTCTCATGATAGTAAGGGAGTTCTCACAAGATCTGATGGCTTAATAAATGGCAGTTTTCTCTAGGCTTTTTGTTCTCTCTTACCTGCACCATGTAAGACATGCCGGTTTCCCCTTCCACCATGATTGTAAGATTCCTGAGGTCTCCACAGCCATGTAGAACTGTGAATCAATTAAACCTATTTATTTGTAAATTATCCAGTCTTGGGCAGTTCTTTTTAGCAGTGTGAGAATAGACTAATACATTGATAAAATAATGATACCTGATTCAGAAACCTGATTCCATCCAATAATCCAGATACACAGACACACACACACACACACACACACACACACACACGTTATATGGTTTGACTGTGTCCCAAACCAAATATCCTGAATTGTAGTTATCATAATCCCCCTGTGTCAAGGGAGAAACTCAGTTGTAGGTAATTGAATCATGAGGGCAGTTACCTCAATGCTGCTGTTATTATGATAGTGAGTGGTGAGTCCTCACAAGATCTGATGGTTTTATAAGGGGCTTCCCCCTTCACTCAGTTCTCATTCTTCTCCTCCTGCCCTCATGTGAAGAACATGTTTGCTTCTCCTTCCACCATGATTGTAAGTTTCCAGAGGCCTCCCCAGCCACGTGGAACTGTGAGTCAGCTAAACCTCTTTCCTTGATAAATTACCCAGTCTCAGGCAGTCATTTATAGTAGCATGAGAACAGACTAATACAATATGTATGTATGTATGTACATATGTATATAAACACAACCTACAAGGGGAAAATGAAGAAACGTAGTCCAAAGAAAACAAATAGTGTAATACAAAAATATACGGGCCATTGCAAATGTCATATAAGTTAAGATACTAAATTATAAAGTTTTGAGAGATAATTAGTGTTAACGACAGAATTACTACCCTGAAATTAAGCTGTATATAACCCATTCCACTGACTTTAGTACTAAAAACAAAGCTATTTTCCTTCACCAAAATTTATGTTAGGCACGTCTCCTGACTCTCAAAATATATAAAAGTAAATAGAATATAACCAATTTAAGTGTTTCAGAGGTACCCAAATATTCATTGAGTTTCTCCACAATTGGATTATTTCTTTAAAATTCATATGCAAACTTCTTCATGTATTTTGTAGGGAAACGTGTTCGCAAGCATGCATACACATGCACAGAAGCATATGCAACTGAATATTTGTCAAGGTTTGATTGTTAGGCTAAGGGATAAGGTGCATTGTATTAAAATTTTACTTTGACTCATGCCCAGCAGGAATTAGTATTTTTACCCTCTTCATTAATATTATTATGGAGAGCCTGGTTTTCTATCTTCTATCTTGTTCAAAAGTCGTTAACAAAGGATTCAAAAGATACAGCTTTTCTTAAAGAGTCTTGCAGTATTTTTCCTTTATTCTGTAAAGCAAAAGTCTCAACTTGATACAAATTTGTTTCTTGTATAATTTTTTTTATTAGATAGAAAAATAAAAGAGGTGATGTTGTAGCTCTTGACTGCCAAGTGTCAAGTTTTTGTTTTTCTCCACTTGATATAAATTACCTTCTCACTTCACATTAAAAAAAATAAGGTTAGAATGAAAATACTCTTTTTTATTTCGTTTAACAATCCACTCCCTTGCAATAACACATCCTGCAGCATTGTTCAACATAGCTTGGTTTTATTTTATTAAGAAGATACCTCTTTGCAGTCCAATGGTATAATCATTTAGCAACTGCAAAATTTCGCCTAAAATAAGCCAGCCTGAAAAGATCTTCCAAGATTTGTGTGCGAGGCAGCAGGTAGTAGATATTGGTTTTAAAAAACAGAACCATGAAATTAAATTAAAATCTGTCTAGTAAAGAAATATATGATAAACATTTTTAAATGGCATATAAAAAATAAAACAATCAATGAAGTTTCAGCAATGTTTACATTTTCTCTAAAACATATATAGACGACTTCCTTTCTTCCTTCCTCCCTTCTCTCCCCTTTCTTTCTCTCTTTCTTCCTTCCTTTTTCCCTCCCTCCCTCCCAGGTTGGATGGAGTGCAGTGGCCCAATCTTGGCTCACTGAAACCTCTGCTCCTGGGCTCAAGTGATTCTCCCACCTCAGCACTCCCAAGTTGAGACTATGTGCACTCACCACCACACCCGGCTAAACTTTGTATTTTTGGGTAGAGATGCGGTTTTTACCATGGTGTCCAGGCTGGTTTCGAACTCCTGAGCTCTAGCCATCCACCCACCTTGGCCTTCCTAAGCTCTAGAACTATAGTCCTGAGCCATCACGCCTGACCAGAAAAGTATATATAGATTTTCTTTTTTTTTTTTTTTTTTTTTGAGACAGAGTTTCACTGGTGTTACCCAGACTAGAGTGCAATGGCACGATCTCGGCTCACCGCAACCTCCGCCTCCTGGGTTCAAGCGATTCTCCTGCCTCAGCCTCCCGAGTAGCTGGGACTACAGGCATGCACCACCATGCCCAGCTAATTTTTTGTATTTTTAGTAGAGACGGGGTTTCACCTTGTTGACCAGGATGGTCTCGATCTCATTGACCTCGTGATCCACCCGCCTCGGCCTCCCAAATGCTGGGATTACAGGTTTGAGCCACCATGCCCGGCCAGATTTTCAATAAAT